AAAACTTATTAGAAAGAAACAAATAAATTTACAACAGAAAATCAATAAATAAAAATCCACTGCCTTCCTATGTAACAAAACTTCAGAGAAATTAAAAAAAAAAAAAAAAAAAAAAAAAAAAAACTAGATGTCCCAATATACAAAAATTCATTCAAGATATTTTGGATTCAACATGGCAGCCGGCAGGATGGGAAGGAGGGTGAGAGTATGGGTGTGAGAGAGGTGCATGTGGACGTGTGTGATGTGTGCGCGAAAGGAAGGAACAGTTAGATCTTGCAGAGTCTTGAAGGCTAGTGGATCAGGCTCCCCCGGACAAAGAGCCCGTTACCTCTCTGGCACAGAAACCACACCATCTTGAAGCGGGGAGCACCACGCCTCGAAGCACAGCCAGCTAGCCTTGGATACCGCCCCATACAGAACCGGTGAGCCACATGCCAGTGGTACCACCCTAAACTCCCGCAGAGAATTGCATACAACCACCCACCACAGGCTCAGGGACCTCACAGGTGATCCTCACCACAGGTGCCGGGACCCCACAGTGAGTCACATACTAGCAGCACCCATGACCTCACAGGAATTGCACACAAGAAGGACTATGCCCAGGCCCTTGCAGACCCTGAGCATCTGCAGCTGAAACCTGCTGGACCAGATCCATGGGGGCAGGTACTACAACTCAGAACAGAGACAGTCAAGGCGTGAGAACCAAGGCAGACCCCAGGCTCTGGGCTGAGGAATCGCTAACCACTGGACAGCTGGCATGACGACACTGGGGTTGGCCTCACTGGAAGCAAGTCAGATATCCTCCCCCAAGTGCAATATCAACAATCAAGACCCAGTAATAACAGGACAGCCCAAACCATAAACATACACAAGAGGCATTTCTAGAGCAGCCAGCTCAGGTGAACAAAGAGACTACACCACTGGACCCCTCAAGACACTTTCTACATAAGGCCATCCCACAAAGACTGGGAGGCATAGCAGTCTTATCTAATACGTGGGAGCAAATCCAGAGACAGCTAAAATGGGGGGACAAAGTAACAACTCCCAAATGAGAGAAAAGGAAACTCCAGAAAAATAACTAAATGAGATGAAGGCAAGCAACCCATCAGACAAAGTTCAAAGCAATGGTTATAAAAATGCTTAAAGAACTTAGTGCAAATTATAACAGCAAGAAAAGGAAAATAGAGGACATTAACAAAAACCAGACAGAAATGAAGAATGATATATCTGACATGAAGTACACACTGGAAGGGACTGAAAGTAGACTGGATGAAGCAGAGAACGGAATTAGCAATTTGGAAGAGTGAAGGGATAGAAAAATATATTCCATGAAAATGGAAAAGGGAAGGGGGAAAATTGAAGTAAGCAATACTCAAATTGGACAAATAAATTTCAAAACAAAGGCCAAAACAAAAGACAAAGAAGGCCACATCACAATACTAAAGGGAATGATTCAACGAGGAAATATAACCCTTGTAAACATATATGCATTCAATACAGGAGCACCCAAATGTATTTTTAAATTCTTGATGGACTTTAAAGAAGAGAAAAACAGAAAAACAGTGATATTAGGTATACTAAAAAGCCACTATACACAAAACAGCCTGCTACTGGCAGGCACAAAAACTGGTATTTAGATCAATGGAACAGAACACAGAACACAGAAATCAACCCAAGTAATTATGATAAATATTTAACAAAGGAGGCAAGAGCATACAATGGAGTTAAGACAGTCCCTTCAATAAATGGTGTCGGGAAAATTGGACAGATACATGCAAAAAAATGAAACTGGGCCACCAACTAACACCATACACAATAATAAACTCAAAATGGATGAAAAACTTAAATGTAAGTTGTAAAGCCATAAAAGTCCTAGAAGAAACCATAGGCAGCAAAATCTCAGAAATCTCTCATAGCAATATGTTTACAGATATATCTCCTAGGACAAAGGAAACAAAGGAGAAAATAAACAAATGGGGCTACATCAAAATAAAGTTTCTGCACAGCAAAAGAAACCATCAACAAAAGAGAACCCATTGTGTGGGAGAATATATCTGGCAATGATACAACTAATAAAGGATTAATATCCAAAATATATAAGAAACTTATACAACTTAACAGAAGTAAGACAAACCACCCAGCTGAGATTGGTTTGGCTCAATGGATAGAGCGTCGGCTTGGGGACTGAAAGGTCCCGGGTTCGATTCTGGTCAAGGGCATGTACCTTGGTTGCGGGCATATCCCCAGTAGGGGGTGTGCAAGAAGCAGCTGATCTATGACTCCCTCTCATCGATGTTTCTAGCTTTCTATCTCTCTCCCTTCCTCTCTGTACAAAATCAATAAAATATATATATATAAAAAAAAAAAAAAAAAAAAGACAAACCACCCAATTAAAAAGTGGGTAAAGGACCTAAATAGACACTTACCCAAAGTGGACATACAGATGGCCAAGAGATATGAAAAAAAGTCACTCATCATCAGAGATACAAATTAAAACAACAATGAGGTACCATCTCACACCTGTCAGAATGGCTACCATCAGCAAATGAACAAATGACAAATGCTGGCAAGGAGAAAAGAGAACCTTAGTACACTGCTGGTGGAAATGCAGACTGGTGCAGCCATTATGGAAAACAGTATGGAATTTCCTCAAAAAATTAAAAATGAAACTCTCATTTGACCCAGTGAACTCACTTCTAGGAATATATCATGAGAAATCAGAAACACCAAACAGAAAGAATGTATGCACCCCTATGTTCATAGCAGCACAATTCACAATAGCTAAGATCTGGAAGCAGCCCAAGTGCCCAGGAGTAGATGAATAGATAAAAAAGCTGTGGTACATTTACCCCATGAAATACTATGAAACAGGGATGGAAAAATATATTCCATGCAAATGGAAAGAGCAATAAAAGCTTAAGTAGCAATACTCAAATGAGACAAAACAGACTTCAAAACAAAGGCCACATCACAGTATTAAAGGGAATGATTCAACAAGAATATATAACCCTTGAAAACATATAAGAATCTCTTACCCTTTAAAACAGCATGGAGGGACCTGGAGAGTATCATGCTAGGTGAAATAAGTCAGAGAAAGTATCACATGATCTCACTCATATGTAGAATCTAAGTAACATAATAAACCGATGAACAGAGTGAGTCCAGAGACTTGGAGGCATGGAATAGAATGTGTAATCTCAGAGGGAAGGCAGGGGAGGGTGGGTGGTGAGAGGTAATCAACCAAAGACCTTATATGCATTTATGCATAACCCATCGACACAGAAAATAGGGTGGCAAAGGCCTGGGGCAAGGGCTGGATGGGGTCAATGCAGGGGATAGAGGAGGACATAGATATTTTCAACAATAAAGAATTATTTTTAAAATAAACAGTGCTTCCTTATACTTTGTTTTGTAATATATTTTTATTGATTTCATAGGAGAAATAGAAACATTAATGAGAGAGAATCATTGATTGGCTGCTTCCTGCATGCCCCACACTGGGGATCCAGCCCCACATGCCCCGGCCAGAAATTGAACTGTGACCTCCTGGTTCATAGGTCAACACTCAAACACTAAGAACCATGCCAGCTAGGCCCTTACTGTCTTTGAGTAATATATTTTTTAGTCAACTATTGCTCTGAACAAGTAACTAAAAGTTTTCCCTCTCAATCAGTTCAATGTTTTGCTTTTTTACTAGCCACAGGTTTCTCATTACTCTTGGTTTCTAGTGCCAACTATTAGTCCTCCTCTTAAGATCGACTATATACTTTCATATCATCTTTCGACTGCCAAAATTTCTAGATAAATTTAAAGTAGCTGCTCACTGAACACAAACAACATTCAAGAACTCACACAGGTCTACATTTGGCAGCAAAAGGGCCACTGCACAATCCTTACAAAGTATTGGGTCAGTTATTCATTTGAGAAAGGATAATTCCTGGAACCTAACTTAAGAAAGTAAAATCTACCTGGCTTTAATCAATTTCATAAATGAAGTTGCCAAAAAAAAAAAAAAATTTTTGATATTATGGACTACATCTAAAAATGAAATAGAGCCAGCACTTAGTTTTTCTGAGTGAGAATATCCTACTACAAATTTAAATAACATGGCAATCTTTTCATATCCAATTATTGTGGGGTTTTTTAATCATTAATTCACTTCACTCCATGAGTTCCCCAAATTCCTTTACTGACAAAATGGTGGTTTTTGACTTGTCATTTATTTTTAGTATCAAATGCCTTCATTAATTTTCTCTTCAGAAAATGCTGTTTTACTTTCAATGCTCCACAATAATTTTAAAATAGCCAATATTTTCAGTATGAACAATAAGATTTCCACCTACGTACTCTTTGTAACTTCTGTAAGGCATATTAGTTTTAGCATAAAAGATATTCTATTCCCATGCATGTCCTTGCTTTTTAATAAATACAATACTGGATGGGAAAGGAATTTAATACTAATGCTCTAATCCATTCTGTTGCTCAGTACAGCCATTCTCTTTTTTAATGTTTCCATTACACAAACAAAATATTATATATAAACTTACCAAAATATTGAGAGTTGGAATCTTTTTGTGAAAATAACCAAAAATCAATCAAATTGGCAATGGAAAATTACATTGGCACTTACCAAAAAAGTAAAACCAGTGCCTTAATGATACAATGATTCTACACATATATGTCAAAAAATACACTTAAAAGAAATCTGGGGGGAAAACTGAAAATCCAATTATTCATGATACTACAATTTCTGGTTAGTACTTACACTCTTTAAAATGTATGTAAGAACAGTTATGTGCTTATTAAGAACCAACATAGTTTGCCGAGGCTGGGTAGCTCAGATGGTTAGAGCATTGTCCAGATATGCCAGGTAAGGTTGCAGGTTCAATCCCTGATCAGGGCACATACCAGAATCAACCAATGAATGCATAAGTAAGTGGAACAACAAATAGATGTCTCTCTCTCAAGTGAATATATTTTTTTTTTAAAGTTAACAATAGTTGTGACCAAAGTCTTTAATTTCATATGTCTACCAGCACCACCCAAAGCCATGCACACCAAATCTGTTAAAGAAAATGCATTATTTTCCAACTGTGTCCTCTAAATTTTCTAAAAAATATATGAATTTTGTGCATATATATCAATAGCAATATATATTTAGTGGGAAATCAATAAATTTGTACTAAGCAATCTAGACTAATACTATTATATGATATTCAAACTAAGTCACTCTTCAATTATTTACCCAAATCTGAAGTGTGAAAAATTCTTCAAAAGGATAATTTAAAATTATAAATTTGGGCATTTTACACATAAAAGACTTAAATACCATTGACTGTTATAAATGTTTGTTTCAAAATTCTAAAAACTCCTTTTAACAACTACCATTACTTTAAAATACTTTAAAAAAATTCTGAAAATTTGAAAGTAATTAAAGCATAACACTGACCTAAAAGGACAAGAATTTTATTTTTGTAATCTTTATTAATATAAGATCACCCCCTAGGGCTCATCTGCTAGTTTTTTAAACAAATTTCAAATGCAATTTTACAGTTCATTTAATACCACACACTCCTACAACCTTAGCCCCTTTACAAAACAGACAAAGGAAAAATAGCTTCAAAACTGTCGTCTTAGAAATGTTACTACAATTAAGAGTCATTCAGTATTAAGTTCTATAATCAACTCTTGTGTCTTAGATTGCCACGTACATCTTGATTGTGACATGCAAAATGGATCTTGCTTTTGCATGCAGATTTCAGCAAAGATCCACAGTCCCCAAACAAAAAGAGGAAATAAACATTACAGGGCCAACTCAAACATATACTGGAGGGGGAAAATCAACAAAAAACCCTTCACAATTAGTGATATGAAGAAAGGAAAGAGGACAAAAGATCAAGGTACCCAGAGTCTCAGTCCACCAATATATGAATAATTTAACAGCAGTCAGCATCATGTATGATAAGACACATTTTCGAAGTGGAAAGTTCTTAAAGGGATTGACTTAGACCATCAGTAACCATCAGACTCCTGTGTATGACTTTAGTGTAATTCAACTTAATCTCACTTAACAATTTAAAAGTTTTCAGAATGATTCCAAGGTAATAGTTCATTTCAAACCTATTTTAATAAATTACACATGCACTAATTTGTTTCTATATAGTCTCTATGTATGTCATTTTAAACATCTTTTGATAATTAAAATACAATAGCCATATTGAAATTAAAAAGCTTAGACAAACTATTATTAATGACTAAGAAAAGTAGTTCAAAGCTTTAAATATGAATGAACCTGACAAAAACATGTCAGGGCCTGTTTAAGAAATCTGTCCTTGTTACCAGACCACCTTTCTATTTTGAGCCGTGAACCCATAAGAGTACTTTCAACAAAGTACTATACCTACTGCTTTGAAATGAAAAACAATTACTTAAAATTTCTCACTTTGGTAAAAAGCAGATCAGTTCAGAATTACACAGATCCCAAAGTGAAAGACAAGTGGAATGGATAAATTAATCCCAGTCAAGAATAAAAGCATTGGGAGAAAAAAAAATCATCCAAAAAAAAAATGTTATGAATCAAAAATAGAATGTATATTTGGATAATAACAATCTATAATTCTATAAAACTTGCAAAAATTCAAACATCTTTTTAATATATTTCTGGTGAAATCAAAGTCAAAATATAATACTTGGGATTCCTCCTTCTGCAAAGAAATTAAACGAATCAAGTAATTTGTTCTCTAAAACACTTTGCAAATTCCAATTTACAACAAGCATATAAAACATGATAAACAATAAAAAATTTTATATGGATGAAAACCTACAATTACAATCTTTGCTACCTCAGCAAAGTACTTTCCATATACCACATCAATATAATAGAAATGGCACAGTTTCTGAGAACACGATCCACATTTTATTTACATTTTAAGACTAACTTTAATCTCAAAAATCACATCCATTTACCTATTTCCTTTTTGCTGATTTCACTTCAACTTAAATGCATGGTTTGTCAAACAAAGACTGTAAACAAATATTTACCATGTCTTTTACATGTAACACAGAAATAGCTTTTATCAGAAATTCATTGACCTTCCCCGTGACTTTTTTTTATTATAAATACATATATGAAAACAATCCTGAACATATTTTTTATACTACTGGTTGTCAGCACCCACACCACTTCAAAAATTAAAACAATTTGGGACAATATGCCTTGTACCTGATACTTTAGACAACTTAAATTGAAGCTCTTTCACTAAGCAAGATGGATAAAGCATGCCATTTCTTTTTCCTTCTTGGGATTTCTTACTTTTTAGTAAAAATCACCATACTTTCATCTTCTAAACCTGAATTCTGTTTTGAAAACTCCAGGTTTATGTTTAAATGACAGTGCCTTAAAAAAAATTGTGCTGCATTTTTTTCTCCTGTTACCTGAAAACATAATGTGTATACATATATTAAATATATTCTTACAAATGTCCAGGTTATATTTACCAGCTGGCATTCTTTTACTTAATGTGTGGGTATTCTGCATTGTGATATTTAATCAAGACATTAACATGAGTAGAAGATTGTTGATTTAAGACAAGTTTGATATCCACTAAAATTAATTGTTGTATGTTTGTCCTTCTGGTGGCTGTGGAAGCTTCATATTTTCTTTGGACATCATTAGACGTCTTAGTTCTTGAAGTACAACTTTAATGCTATATGAATTTTGCCATTTTGTTAATACTGGTATGCTCCGTGCATCTACCTGGAAAGAAAGAAAAATAATAAAATTCATTACCAGTTTAAAGTAGTATGGCATCAATTTATTAACTATTTAAGTAAGTCCTTTTAAAAATTCATAGCCTGGCTCTATTTTCAAAAAAGTTAATTATTTTAATTACACTAATTATTTTAATGTAATATTTAGGGAAAAATATTCTTTCTTTAACACATTTCCAAATAAGTTATGCCTTTTATGTGTGTGAATTTGTGCTTTTCTATTATTTTACAAATAAACATATAGTGAACTTTAGTCATCAGAAAAATTTTAAAATGTTGTATTAAATAACTACACTGTAAATATATTTGGCAACTCCTTCTTGATTAAATAAGTTCCTCTCCATTTCCAACACCGCTACCTGAAATCTGGGCAATTATCTCCATTGGGATTTATATAGGAAAGAACTGTGAACCTAATTAATCTTCCACTATGGAAGACTGATAGAATGGGTTTGGAGCTCCTTCAAAGTCTCATTCCCAAGTAACTGCCATCACATGACAGTTCCCCTGGAAAATGCCAATCACAGACTTTCCTCTATCTGACCTCAGAACTCACCCACTGGGTACTGCCTATTCTGCCACCAACCCACTGCCACCCTTATGCCTGGCACTGAAAGCAGTGCCAATTGTTTAACATCTCTACTTCCTGGAGAGGCAGTAACAAGGCAAACAGGAAGGTGACTAAAGTGCTTCAGAGGATGTCTACTGACATCCACAGGGACTTGGAAAAGTTTTAATATATGCCTGTAAATCTAGAAGACCACACACGTATAAGGCTGTGCACAGGCTCATGAAATATATGACCTTGAGCAACACACACAAAAAGATTATGTACCATAACCAAGTGGGATTTACCCCAGAAATGCAAGATTGGTTCAACATTTTAAAAGTTAATCAATGTAATATGCCATAATAAAATAGAAACAAAAAACATTATTATCTTGGTAGATACAAAAAAAGCATTTGACAGAGTCCAATAATCTTTCATGATAAAAACACTCAAACTAAGAACAGAAGGGAACTGCCTCAACCTAATGAAGGGAATCTATTAAAAATATACAGCTCGCATCATAATTTCTTAATTTATGAAAGACTGGGTATTTTCCTCCTGATATCAGGAAGAAGACAAGGATTTCCAGTCTCATCACTGCTACTCAAGCCTGTAAAGAAACTTTAAAATAAGCAATCGGGCAATAAAATTAAATAAAAGGCACCGAGATGAAAACAAAAGAAGTACAACTATTTCTATTTGCAGATGACATGATCTTCTATACAGAAAACACAAGGTGTGCATTAAAAACACTACTAGAGCTAATAAGTGCGAGACATTGGTATACAGAATTAGCATACAAAAAACAGTTGTATGTCTGTATACCTACAAAGAACAATCTGGAAATCAAAGAAAGAAATTAATGCCAATTACAGCAGGGATAAGAGAATAAAATACACAAGTATAAATTTAACAAAAGTGTAAGATGATACACTGAAAACTAGAAAACATTGTTGACAGAAAGACAAGCACCATAGGATATCATTTATATGTGGAATCTAATGAACAAAATCAACTGACAAGCAAAATAGAATCAGAAGCATGGCTACATGGAACAGGCTAACAGCTTGTGAAAGAGGAGTGTGGTTGGGGAACTAGATAAAAAAAGGTGCAGAGATTAACCAAAAAAAACATATACCGGTATGCCTAACACACAGACACAGACAATAGTGTGGTGATAGCCAGATGGAAAAAGGGAGGGAGAATGGCAACGAAAAGAGACTTTGCATGTGGCAATGAACGCATGGTGCAGTGTGCAAATGATATTTTATTGAGTTGAACACATGAAACCTGTATGGTTTTATGAACCAGTATCATCCCAAGAAATTCAAGTAATAAAACTGTTGACAGAAATTTAAGACCCAAATATATGTGAAGATCCTATACAAATGCACCAAAGACCCAATACTGATTAGGATAACAATATTCCTCAGATTGATCTACAGATTCAATACAATCCCTATCAAAATTTCAACTTTTTTTTTTAAAGAAACCCATATAAAAATGCCAAGAAAACGAGAATAGCCTAAGAAATATGAAAAAGAGCCAGCACCGGTTTGGCTCCGTGGTAGAGCGTCAGTCTGCGGACTGAGGGGTCCCGGGTTCGATTCCGGTCAAGGGCATGTACCTTGGTTGTGGGCACATCCCCAGTGGGGGGTGTGCAGGAGGCAGCTGGTCGATGATTCTCTCTCATCGATGTTTCTAGCTTTCTATCCCTCTCTCTTCCTCTCTGTGAAAAATCAATAAAATATATTAAAAAAAAAAAAAGAAATATGAAAAAGAATCAAGTTCTCCCAATTTCAAAGGTTAATACAAAACTTCAGTAATCAAGAAGACAGTACTTCCATAAGGATGGACATACCTATCAATGGTATATAACTGAGAGCCCCCAAGTAAACCCAGGCGTTATACTTACAAAGTAAACTGATTTTTTACAAGAATACACAATAAGGGAAAACTAGATTCTTCAATAGTGTTGCTGGGACCACTGGATATCCACATGCAGAGGAATGAATTTGCACCCTTAACAAGAGACAAAGAAGGCCACATTATAATGAGACAAAGGCCACTTCTTTGACTCTTGTTATGGCCTCTATTTTGTCTGATATAAGTATTTCTACTTCAGCTTTTTTTTTTCTTCCTTTCCTTTTGCATGGAATATTAAAAAACTCTTGATGGACTTTTAGAAAGAGATTGACAGCAATAGAGTCATAGCGGGGGACTTAAAACACCCCACTGACACCACTGAACAGATTTCCAGACAAAAAATTAACAAGGAAACAGAGGCCTTGAAATACACACTAGATCAGATGGATCTAACTGATATTTACAAAACATTTCACCCCAAAACAACAGAATATGCACTCTTCTCAAATGCACATGGAACATTCTCAAAGATAGAAGACATGTTAGAGCACAAAACAAGTCCATACAAATTCAAAATGATTGATATACCATGCTAAACATCTTCTCAGATCACAATGGCATTAAGTTAGAAATCAACTACAATAATAAAATAATTTTAAAAAATCTCAAAAACACTGAAATACATGCAGGCTAAATAGCATGTTACCGTGTTTCCCCGAAAATAAAACATCCTCCGAAAATAAGACCTACTTACAGGTTTCCTTCTGAGTGAAATATAAGGCAACCCCCCAAAAATAAGGCCCCCCCTAGGCTCTAAGAATGAAAATTAATGTACCGTAAACTGGTCACTAGGGCCGCCCCAACTGGCATCTAGCAACCAGTGGCATTATTCGGAATCCCGACATCACTGCTGTGTGGAGGCAGAGCAGAGGTCGGAGTGAGTGGTGAGCGTGGGGCAGGAGAGAGGAGGAGACTTTCACAGATGCGTGTAGAACAGGAGGGTTAGAGCGGACTGGACGCTGCGAAGGTGGTGAGTGCTGGTCTGACTCTGGTGACACTACCTGATGCTCACGGCCACCATCATGATGACTGAAGGTTCTCAGTCAGTGGCAGACCCTGCTCCAGCCCAGATCCAGGCCCCAGCAAGCCCAGTGACAGTCCCCAGGCAGGCCCCAGGGGGTAAATGTCTGATAAAGGGGTAGGGGGGATGTCTGGGGAAGGTGTTCAGTGGCACAGGAGTGGGGGGAGGGGGATCACTTAAAATGACACAGGAGGATCAGAGGGGGCAATCAAAATGACACAGGAGGATCAAAAGGGGTTACTAAAATGGTAATCCCCCCTCTGATTCTCCTGTGCCATTTTGATTCCCCCTCTGATCCCCCCTGTGTCATTTTAAGTGATCCCCCTCCCCCCACCTTGATACCCCAATTCCTTTTTTTTACCCCTAAAAATGAGCACAAAAAGAAAAAGCTACTCCGTGGAGTACAAGAAAGGAATAATCGTGGAAGACTCTGGGGGGCCAAAATCTTACTGCTTTCTGCAAAGAGAAGATGTTGAGTATCCGATTGGTCCGAAAATGGCGAGCAGAGTATGGCAACCTCATTGAACAAGTGGACAAGGGAAATGCTAAAAAGCACAAGTGTGGATCAGGTCGGCAACCATTATTTTCCGAGCTGGAAGACCTGATCTGTGAATGGGTTGTTGTCAGGAGAGCAAAGGCTTTGGTTGTGAATAGGGCTCAGATTCAAGAATTTGCCCTTAGCCGAAACCGGTTTGACTCAGTAGTAGAGCACTGGTCTGCGGACTGAAAGGTCCCGGGTTCGATTCCAGTCAAGGGCATGTACCTGGGTTACGGGCACATCCCCAGTAGGGAGTGTGCAAGAGGCAGCTGATCGATGATTCTCTCTCATTGATGTTTCTAACTCTCTATTCCTCTCTCTTCCTCTCTGTAAAAAAATCAATAAAATATATTTTAAAAAATAAATTTAAAAAAAATTTTTTTTTAAATAAAAATTTGCCCTTGCAATGGCACCACAGTTTCACATAGCCCCCGAAGACTTCAAAGCATCACAACACTGGCTGGATAATTTCCTTCAGTGAAGTGAACTGTCTTTAAGAAGATCTACAGGTACAACATTGTTTAGGTTGGAAGATACTAAAGTTATCATGCGAGCACTTACATTCAAGTCCTTTATTGATGATGCTGACTTCTCTAAATACTGTACAATCTTTCCAACAGGATTGCTATGGATGCAACTGCTGTGTTTATGGGCCAATCATCTCAAACAACAATTGAACAGTGGGGTGCCTCCTTAGTGTACATTCCCTCCACTGCTTACAAAAGTGCACGTGTTTCCTGTATTTTGGCAATTCGTCTGGATGGCACTAAAATTTCACCTTTAATCATTTCTAAGGGCAAGAAGGAAAAGATTGAACATGTTTTGGGCATTTTTATTCTTGAAACTGAAAAAGCCTGGGTCACACAAGCAGTTATAAGGAAGTGGGTCGATTTAATGCTGCCGCTTGTTATGCGAGGGAGCCAAAAAGGTCTGCTATTCTAGGATGCAGCC